TCCACCTCTGCTGGAATTTTGTGCAACAACAGTTTCTAGGCAGACACTTAAAGCAACAACAGTTTCTAGGCAGACCGTCACCCACCCCACTCAGAACCATGTGTGCACATCAGCCACAAACACACCCAAACAGTGCCCAGCCTGTACCAGCCTCACAGCTATTGACACCCTGTCAGCAACAAAGCTGAAGCCTTAACAGCAGCAAAAGGAAAACGGCCAAACCACTGCCATATTCCCCTTGTAAATAACATGTCAGCTTCTCGACAGTAGGAAGGAGGAGGTGAGAGAAAACACTCCCCTCTTGTTGCATCTGTACATCTTTTTCTAATTCTCTGCACCTCAAAAGCAGCTGATTAAGAATTCACATTTGCTACACATAACCATGTTAGTAAAGACAGTACATACACACATTTATTCTATAAGACCCATTCAATGACTGAGTTTCACATACAACAACTCCCTGCATGTCCAAAATAAAAGAATCCACTTACCTTGTGCACAGTGGAACTCACCCTAAGCTCTCAGCCGTTCTGTCTTCAGATCATATATCTCTATAGCCCCTCCCACATCAAGTATTGCAAACAATTCTCTGCAAATGAGAAACCTCTTTCTCTTAAGCAAACAAAACCAATCATCTCTATTAAGTTACTTCTCACCTACAGAAAATAAAATCCTGACTAATGCTGACAATGTAGATATGTAAGGTAGATGAGAGGTCATGGTCATTGGAAATATCTGTCATAGCACAGATGTTTATATGCCTCCTATTTGCTAGTTTAAAATATTTTCAATGGCTGAAAAGCTCAGTTGAAAAGAATGCTGGAATGCCAATCACACTTTTATTCTAATGGGTTTTGGTTTTTTACCTTTTACACCTTGCTGCTTTACATAAATCACATCAACTAAATCTGCTCAAATCTCACACAACCTTCTATGCCTTGCTAAGTGTATATTCCTTCAGGACACTTCTGCTCAATTTCATTAACGGACATTGGGGTCAGTTTTTACATTTTTTCATCAAAAACGTTTCTCTGAATTTGATTCAGTGTAAATACACACCAAAGAGAAGTGTGAGAGACAATGAATGGAGTGTGGTATCAGAAGTCAAACGGCCCTCTGCACTCCTGACTGTTTTCTTTGGCCAACTATATTGATTTACGATGCCAATACAGAGTTATCCTCCATGCACCATCCTGCCTATCTAATCTATGTAGTTAATGATGATGTAGGCAGTACCTGCAGTCAAGGTGAACATCCACGTGCAAAATTTGGCTGAATTACCCTGTACATAGCAGTGAGAAGGAATATTCTTCTCAAATTACACAGGGAGGTTTTATAAATTGCAGAGTGTCACACAAAAGAATTGGTTGTTACA